TGAGTGAAAGACATGTCCCAGGGAGGGAGACTTTTAAAGGACCCAGGAAAGGACTACGTAACAATATGACAGACTCTGGTCAACATTCCCAGCACAAGGGTCAAGGGGGTGATAACGAGTTTGTAATATGGTGCTACGAATGGCGAGGCTCACTGCTGATGCCGACTACGATGCCGGCGAAATGTCTGGTAATGTACCACGTCAACGGTCCTACTCTGAAAATGATTATGCATACAATAGATTCCGGACTCGGTGCGTTCCTCTAACTTTTCCTACCAATATAACCGAGTTGTGAAAACAAGTTCAAACAACTTATATACAATGAAATGAAACTGTGACCACACAAAGGCCCAAACCATTTTAGTCTTCATACTTTCAATCAAAAATTAAAGCCTAAAAACCTGCAGATATATTTTTCAATGTATCCATTAACCTCATTACGCGACGCCACACTTATAGCCCACCAGTTTTTCCGCTCGCACAAGAACTTTTATTAAAGCTTCTCATTTTGACCCATACAATACGACTGCTGATCCATCAAATCCTCGATACCCCTAACCATGTCCTGTCATAATGCGATCCATCATCGTTAATTTTTAGTTGTGCATATATGAAGAATATAAGGTAGAGCAGACTAGTTTTCTGGAATTTGTTGCAATTTGAAGCCTTTGTAAGAATAGGATACAGTATTAACGATTTTTTTATGCGACGGACAAAGGTTCACTCTGTTTTCCGCCGAACTAAATGAAGATGTCTCGTGTACTGCATCAAAGTGAACTTAATAGTAAAATCAAGCAAGCAACTCTAATGAAACGGAAATTGATTGTCATCTTCTGCTGAGATCGACCTAAGAATATATTTATTAAACATTTTCACAATAACTAAGAGTCACTATAGCAAAGGGACGCAGGCTTCTCTTGTATTAAAGAAAAGTAGACGCTGTATTTGAGATTACATAAATAGTGAAAAGTATTGTTGATTTATTATTGATTTAGTTGAAGATTTATTTATCAGAATGATTTATTAAATTAACAAATTGATTTATTAAATGGATCTGAGCGCTAAGAGCAGAAATTTAAAAATTATTTTAATTTCACGTTCAATTAAAAAATCAGGCCTATTTAATTTCATTCAGAAGTTAACAAATATATGGCGATAAAAGAAGGGAAACAATTTGGAGTTAATGATATGCTAAATTCGTAGAAATACACGAAACATGAGTAAGAATTCAGTATGATCTAGATGAGAATTCGTTTTGAGTAAATCGCCATCCTGTGAACTTACTCTGAATCTATTCTCCGAGGATGCATGTGTCAGATCCACAACCACTTCGAATGGCCTATTTCTGAAGGCATCAAACGTCATTGATATGAGACAGAGAAGAAGTGGATGCTCAGAGCCCTGATGTTCGATAGTCCTAGTAATTAAGGAAATTCTCTGTGAACGAAGGATAAGGTTATTATGAAATTATCGAATCTTATCTAGAATAACTCATCATTTTGATGACTACGATCTTCCCATATGCTGATAGAAAGCTGTAGTGAAAAATGGGAAATATAGGAAATTAATTTTGTTGGGGATTGTGAGTAAATTCAACTTTTATGTTGTTTTAGTCCTATTTTCTATCCGCTAGATATTTTCATACACATCGTACCAGGCAGCCTGAATTGCCTGATTGGAAATTTCGACAAGATCAATAAGGTTAAGTCGATTTTAAGCAAATACTTTTCGGCTTTAAATGCATATGATCAATAAGCAAGCCAAGCATTTTTAAGGATTGCAATTTAGAACCACAGTAAATGTAGGAATTCTAGAAACGTCAAATTAGTTAAAGTAAAATTTATTTGGATAAAATATAATTCTGTCTGATAGAATGGAGAGCTAAAATGTATATATTAGTGGAATAGATCTAAATATAATTATAGAAAAGTATAAAGAGAGTTAATCGTCAATCCCCGCAGTGCAGTATAGCTAAATAGATCGGATGAGGCCTGTAACAGCTTATGGCATAGATTTTATTCCAGCCAAACGCTAATTTTTATATCAACATTTTCGGATAAGTTACAGACCCATTGAGCCCTTTTCTTCTATGTAAATATGGAATCAAAAGAGCTTCATTAAGAGGTAGCTAAAAACCGAACTATTTATAGAGCCCACTCACTTATACCGACGGGCAATATAGTAGAAGACAGGATTGCCTTGTCGACTGGTGCCAATCTGGTAAAAGATGTTAAGTGACTTAAGGCGTTTGAATTCATCACTGTCGCGAAACTGGTAACCACGCAGCACCCAATCTTCGAGTCTATTTGAGGGCAATTCCATGAAGGTCCATCTGAAATTAAGATTAAAAAGAGTGAAGATCAGGTCAAAAGATAGAACTCTAACGAGATTCTTAAACTTTCTCAAAACACAATTACTGGATTATAACGTACAATGCATTCAAAAAGTGCATCCTTAATCTTACCTTGCACAATATAAGGTCCTAGGGACAATGTAAGTATAGAATTAAAAACAATACGATTTCTTCCAACCGGTGCATATAGAGAAAAATATAAATAAGACATTAGCTTCGACTATAAAGTAGAATAATGAAGTTCTATGGAAAAGTAAGCCCTGACTTATTCACTAGAAGACTTATTATCTCTAACCCAATCATAATTTTACCAATGGTGAAGCATAACATTTAATAGATACGAAGAGAAACTTGGTTTCGATGAATCTCCTGAGATAACATTGTTAGGGGGAACTTCATTT